TCTTTTCATCTAAGTCCCCTTGTCCTGGGGGCTGCATGGCTTTAAGTTTCTCCTCTGTTCCTTACCCAAGAACATGTTACTCTTTTTTATCTAGTTTCTTGTATATCCTTGAAGAGGTGTTTTGTGTATATACAAGTGAATAAGAATGAGCTTATTTTCCTCTATTTTGCATACGAAAGTTAGCATACTAGATATCCTGTCCTATATTTTGCTTTTCTTGCTTAATAGTAAAGTAAGGAGTATTTCTATATGATAAATCATAGAGCTGGTATGGAGACTGTTGTTTCTTTGCTAAAGAGATATGCTGATTTGACTGTACATTGTTTATTTTTCATCACAATAGATGGGGACCTTTCCTTCTTCTGATGTTTTTTAGCTGGATCCCTGAACTCCTGGGCTCAAGCAATCCTCCTATCTCAGTCTTCCAAATTACTGTGATTATAGGTGTGAGCCACTGTGCCTGCCTTTTAATTTTTTTTAAATTATTTTGGGTACACAATAGTTGTATATAGTTAGAGGATGCAGGTGATTTTTCTTTTTTTTTTTTTTTTGGCCAGGGCTGGGTTTAATCCACCACCTCCGGGATATGGGGCTGGTGCCCTATTCCTTGAGCCATAGGCACCGCCCCCAGGTGATTTTTTTTTATATAGACATGTAATATTAAGTAATCAAATCAAGGTAATTGTGATATCCATTACTTCAGGCATTTATCATTCCTTTGTGTTAGGAACATTTCACTTCTGCTCCTTTAGTTATTTTAAAATACACCCTAACTTATTATTAATTATAGTCACTTTGTTGTGCTATCAAATATTGTTCATTTTATCTGTGTTTTTATACACATTAACCATCCTCACTTTATCCCTTCCTTCCCCACTATCCTTCCCATCCTTTGGTAACCATCATTCTACTCTCTGCCTACATGAGATCAGCAGTTTTTAATAGTTTCCACATATGAATGAGAACACGATAGATTTGTCTTTCTGTGCTTGGCTTATTTTACTAAACATAATATTCTCCATTTCATCTATTTTGTTGCAAATGACAGTATTTCATTCTTTTTTATGGTTATACAAGACTGGACAATTAAGTTTGTGAACTCATCCTTAAAAAAGTGTTACATACCTCATTGCTGAATATCACTATAGTCACTTTCGAAGTACTCCCCTTGGGAAGCTATGCATGCACTGATGCCATGCCTAGTCCACTTTTCAAAGCACTTTTCCTAGGACAAGTTAACAGATTTAATTGTCAGATCTCATAAAGTCACAACTCTGATGGCTATTCCAGAAAAAGACTTCCAAAATTTCTTTGAAGGGTGAACTAGGTGCTGGTGCCCGTGCATAGCTCCCCAAGGGGGAGTACTTCAAAGGTGACTAAGTGACATCAAGCAATGAGATATGTAGTACTTTTTCTAGGATGAGTTCACAGACTTAATTGTTCAGCCTTATATAATATTCCATCATGTATGTCTGTCAGTTTCTTTACCCGTTCATCTGTTGGTGGACACTTAGGTTGAGACCAAATCTTGGCTATTGTGAAAAGTGCTGCAACAAACATGGGACTGCAGATAATCACTAGCTTTGATGTTGTACATTGTTTTTCACATAGAATTTTAAAATCTCTCAATATAAAATAAATAAATATATATACACATTTTCTCAATCTTTTTTTAATATAAGATTCACCAGTTCTGTAATTATAATGACCTTAACTTCCCCATCTTTTAAAAACTTTACCCATTCATTAAATTATATTAATAATGTACCCACTGTTCGTAGGTTCCTGAGAGCTGTATGCTTCTGTGTATCTTTTTTTTTTTTTGAGATAGAGTCTCAAGCTGTCGCCCTGGGTAAAGTGCTGTGGCATCACAGCTCACAGCAACCTCAAACTGTTGGGCTTAAGTGATTGATTCTCTTGCCTCAGCCTCCTGAGTAGATGGACTATAGGTGGCCGCTACAATGCCCCACTATTTTTTGTTGCAGTTTGGCCGGGGCTAGGTTCAAACCTGCCAACATCAGTATATGGGGTTGGCACCCTACTCACTGAGCCATAGGCACTGCCCCCACTCCTTCATCTTTAATTTGCACAGTAGCCCCATGAGGTAAACCTGTAGTTAAGGAAACAGTCTTGGAGAGAGTGTATAACTTCCTTAGGGTCACTGTTCCTGTTTCTCTTACTCTATACCTTATGTTTTCATTCTACATTGTCTTTACCCTGATAACAAGAGCCTTAAGAACTATAACATCAAACTCTTGTGCTCATGAAAATATGCCACAATTTCTTATTATAGCTTCATCTTGTAACTCTTACTACTTTTTTCCTCTTCTAGGCCATTTCTGAGCAGAAGTGATGTCAAGTACTACACTGACACTGTACAACCAGTTCTAAAATCTTGCCATCAGATTTTGTGTTGCTGTTTCAAGTGGTAAGTTTTATTTCCTTTTTTATTAAATTTTATTCTTTATTTTTATTTATTTATTTTTTTGAGACAGTTTCACTATGTCGCCCTCGGTAGAATGCTGTGGCATCATAGCTCACATCAACTTCAAACTTGTGGGCTTAAGTGATTCTCTTGCCTCAGCCTCCCAAGTAGCTGGGACTACAGGTGCCTGCCACGATGCCCGGCTATTTTTTTGTTGTAGTTGTCATTGTTGTTTTGCAGGCCCAGGCTGGGTTTGAACCTTCCAGCTCTGGTATATGTGGCTGGCACCCTAGCCACTGAGCTACAGGCACCAAACCTTTTTTTCTTTTTTCAGGTTAATGTGAGGGTACAAACAACTAGGTTACAATATTTGCTTTTGTTAGGTAAAGTCCTTCTTTTTTTTTTTTTTTTTTTTGAGACAGAGCCTCAAGCTGTCCCCCTGGGCAGAGTGCCGTAGCATTACAGCTCACAGCAACCTCCAACTCCTGGGCTCAAGCGAGTCTTCTGCCTCCGCCTCCCAAGTAGCTGGGACCACAACGCCCGGCCATTTTTTGGTTGCAGCCGTCATTGTTGTTTGGCGGGTCCGGGCTGGGGATTCGAACCCGCCACCTTAGGTGTACGTGGCTGGCGCCTTAGCCGGGTGAGCTATAGGCGCCAAGCCGTAAAGTCCTTCTTGTAGTTGTGTCCCACACCCAAGAGGCATGCCATACATGCCTTATGTTGTGCCCATTAGCAAATGCTGTTTTCTTATGAGTAAGATGCTTTACATTAGCTCGGAGTCTACTGTTACTTGTTGTTTATCTTCAGGTCACATACTTAAGTGCTAAATGGCCAAACATAGTGGTGTAAGTTTTTTTTTTTTTTTTTTTTTTTAGAGACAGAGTCTTACTTTGTCACCCTCGGTAGAGAGTTGTGGTGTCACAGTTCATAGCAACCTCCAGCTGGGCTCAAGCCATTCTCTTGTCTCAGCCTCCGAAGTGGCTGGGACTATAGGCACCTGCCATAATGCCCATCTATTTTTTTGTTGCAGTTTGGCCGGGCCAGGTTTGAACCCACTACCCAAAGTATATGGGGCCGGTGCCCTACTCACTGAGCCATCAGCGCCTCCCAATGGTATAAGTTTTAATAGAGTTAAATTAGAGTTAGTTATAGATATGAAAAGAACCTTTCACATACATTATTTCTTAATTAAATTTTAAATGATTAGACCCTAGTTATTAATAATACTGTAAGTCCCCTCTGATTTATGATCTTGCCTTGTGTGATTTTGATTACCTATAGTCAACTGTGGTCTTAAAATTTTAATGGAACAATTCATAAATTTTAAACTTTGAGTTGTTTTCAGTAGGGTGATGAAATCATACCCTTTGGTCAGCATATCTATGCTATTTATGCTACTCACCCTTTAGTAGCTGGTCAGTTATCAGTTAAAAAAAAAACCTAGTGTGGGTGGCGCCTGTGGCTCAAAGGAGTAGGGCGCCGGCCCCATATGCTGGAGGTGGCAGGTTCAAACCCAGCCCCGGCCAAAAACTGCAAAAAACAACAACAACAACAAAACCCAAAAAAACCCAGCTGGCCAAAGACTGAGTACTGGCTGCTACTTTGATTGACTAATGGTAGCACTAGGTCTTAGCGTCAGAGTCTAGGGTGCATCCAAGTTTCCTCACTGTCTCCTTTCCCCTTCTCATTCCTCAGTTTCCCCATTGGAGAGTAGCTTCCTTTTGAATGGGGTGGGAATGGTGGGTTCAAACCCCGCCCCGGCCAAAAATTGCAAAAAAAAACTATATGGGGTTTGGTAAGAACCAAGGTTTCAGGCATCCACTGTGGGTCTTGAAATGTATTCCCAGTGAATAAAAGGGGACTACTATTTACAGAATATCTTTTATAGGTTTGACATGATGCTTTACAAATACTGTTTATGGCTGGGGATGGTGACTCATGCCTGTAATCCTAGCACTCTGGGATGCCAAGGACGTGTACCACCTGAACTCAGAAGTTTGAGACCAACTTAAGCAAAAGCGAGACCCTATCTCTACTAAAAATAGAAAAACTAATTGGGCTTTGTGGCAAGTACCTGTGGTCCTAGCGACTCAGGAGGCTGAGGCCAGGGGATTGCCTGAGCCAAAGAATTTGATGTTCCTATGAGCAGTAACACCATGGCACTCTCTACACAGGGTACAGAGTGAGACTTTGTCTCAAAAAAGAAAAACAAAATGTTATTTGTGTAATCCTTATGACAATGTAGTAAGATATAGATAGTGGTATTGACATTTTACAGATGAAAAAACTGGATAGAGAAGTTAAGAAATTTATGTTAGATCTCATAGCTTATAACTTAACAGAGCCAACTTTCAATCTTATGTATATCTGTCCCAGGCTTTTTGTTTTTCTCATTACACAATCTGATTACTTGTGGTGTTAGAATTTTGGCTGTGTAGAAAGTCAAAGATTTTTAAGATGCTGAAGAGAGAAAGAGTGGGGTTATTCCTGTTTGAGCAATGTAGAGAATTATAGAAGCTATATTTAAATGTACTGAGTTATCATAACTTTTTGCTTTTTGTTTCAGGTAATTACATGCATATTTCTTTTATTTAAAAGAAATGAGTGTAACTGATATTGCATTGAGGGTTGAAACCTGGCTTTTAGCTACTTGGCATGTTAAAGTACCTCACATGTGGCTGGAAGCTTGTATTAACTGGATCCGAGAAGAACAAAATAATGTTAATTTGAGTCAGGCCCAAATGAATAAACAAGTGTTTGAGCAATGGCTTCTTACTGATCTGAGAGATTTGGAACATCCTCTTTTACCTGATGGCATTTTAGAAATTCCAAAAGGAGAACTGAATGGATTTTATGCTCTGCAGATTAATTCCTTGGTTGATGTAAGCCAACCTGCATATTCCCAGATACAGAAGTTGAGAAGAAAGAATACAATGAATGATCTAGTTACAGCTGAAACACAAGTAACCCAAAGACCTTGGGAAGCAAAACCTTCACGAATGTTGATGCTACAGCTAACTGATGGAATTGTACAAATGCAGGGAATGGAATATCAGCCTATTTCAGCTCTTCATAATGATCTTCCTCCAGGCACAAAAATTTTGATTTATGGAAACATTTCTTTCCGTCTAGGTGTTCTCTTATTGAAACCAGAAAATGTGAAGGTGTTGGGAGGTGAAGTAGATGCTCTTTTAGAAGAATATGCCCAAGAAAAAGTACTTGCAAGATTAATTGGGGAACCCGATCCTGTAGTTTCAGTCATACCAAATAATTCTAACCAAAATATCCCTAGAGTTACAGAAGTTGTAGATACTATGTTAGGACCTTCTGATGAAGAACTCTTAGCAAGTCTTGATGAAAATGATGAGCTTACAGAAAATATTGACGACTCATTGAAAAGAAGATATTTCACCACAGGTAGTTCCTCAAATGTTATTTCCACAAGACAGTCAAATTTTGAACCAGAATTTGTTATTTCTCCAAGACCATCTAACCAATCTATGTATTTCACGGATGGGGAATTAGATGACTTTTCATTGGAGGAGGCCTTGCTTTTAGAAGAAACTGTTCAGCAAGAACAGATGGAAACTAAAGAATTGCAGCCATTGACTTTGAACAGAATTGCAGATAAAAGTATAGAGAGATTTTCATGTAATCCTAATACTATAAATAATTGTTCTTTGATTTGCAAAAGTGGAAACAATTGGAATGAAAGAAATGTATCTGAACAAATGACTAATGAAGATGAGTCTTTTGATTGTCCATCTGCAGGAGACCAAAACAATAGTGTTTTTTTAGTTCAGTGTAACGAACCCCTATCCCATGATTTTACAAATAAAGATAAAAACTCAGAGACAGATCATCAAATAAAACAAACTATTAGCAATTCAGATGGACATTCTTTAAATAATAAAATATTAAACAGAGAGCTGGTGAACTCTGTACCAAAAAGGAGTTCACAAATTTCTAAAGAAAATGAGTGCTATTTACAGACTTGTTCAAGATCATCAGATAATAACACTGATTTTTCCATTGCCATGGATTTGTATTCTCCACCCTTTATCTATTTGTCTGTTCTAATGGCCAGCAAACCAAAGGAAGTTACAACAGTGAAAGTCAAAGCATTTATTGTAACTTTAACTGGAAATCTCTCAAGTTCTGGTGGCGTTTGGAGTATAACTGCAAAGATTTCTGATGGTACTGCATATCTAGATGTAGAGTTTATAAATGAAATACTTACTAGTTTGATAGGGTTCTCAGTATCAGAAATGAAACAATTAAAGAAAGAGCCTCTTCAGTACCAAAAGTTTTTGAAAGGTTTGCAGAAATGTCAGAGAGATCTAATAGATTTGTGCTGTCTAATGACTATTTCATTCAATCCTTCCTTGTCTAAAGCAGTTGTACTGTCATTACAAGATGTTACTGTGGAACACATTGAGAATCTCAAGAAGCGGTTGAATAGTAATTTTCTAAAATAGAGAACAATTCAAAACAACAAGGAAATATTTAGAATTTGTTATGATTTTATGTCAGAAACTTTTTGTAAAAAGTAAAAATGAAGTTTCATAGCTTTTTTTCATTTAATTTTTAAAAGTTTAATGATGTTTGTTGTATGTGTAGGCTTTTTTAGTAAGTTAATTTTTTTTTTTTTTGAGACAGAGCCTCAAGCGACCCTGGGTAGAGTGCTGTGGCATCACAGCTCACAGCAACCTCCAACTCCTGGCCTCAGCCTCCCAACTAGCTGGGACCACAGGCGCATGCCACAGCGCCTGGCTATTTTTTGGTTGCAGCCATCATTGTTGTTTGGTGGGCCTGGGCTGGATTCAAACCTGCCACCTTAGGTGTATGTGACTGGCGTCTTAGCCACTTGAGCCACAGGTGCCGATCCAGTTAATTTTTTATAGTAACTGTTAGATGAAGGAATTTGGTGACCCATATTGTTGAGAAATTTGTTTTCCAGTTGTCATTTCATGTAAGATGATTGCTAAAGTATTATATTGGTATTCACCCATGAGTTATATTACATAGGTAGTTTTAATTCTAATATATTGATGCCCCAGAGATTTGTTTAAATTGTTCTTAAGAGAAAAAAAAAACCCAGTAGATCAGAACATCAGTCTTGGCGCCTATAGCTCAGTGGTTAGGTTGCCAGCCACATATATCAGAGTTGGCAGGTTCAAATCCAGCCCAGGCCTGCCAAATACCAATGACAACGACAACCAAAAAATAGCCAGATGTTGTGGCAGGCGCCTATAATCCCAGCTACTTGGGAGGCTGAGGCAAGAGAATTGCTTAAGCCCAAGAGTTTGAGGTTGCTGGGAGTTGTGACACCATGGCACTCTACCCAGGGTGACATAGACTCTATCTCAAAAAAAAAAAAAGATCAGAACATCAGATTTCCAATGCAAATTGCTTTAGTCGTAAATTGTGCTGGTTGTAAATATTCGTCTAGTGTATGTAAGGTAAATCTTGTTAACTAGATAACTGTCTCATACATTTTATATTATTGAATGATTAACATCATATATTTTCGAGGATAATTTATTTTAAGTGCTGTGTTAGAAATTTTATTATTAAGGTCCAGTAAGTAGTTCCTATATTGTATTAAAATAAACCATTTATCCATATCTTTAGGCATTATTATTTCCTTTTTGAATGAGCTGTACATATAAGCTTTTAGTTTTGTTGTAAGCGCTGATTTTGTTAGAGAGGCTGTGTGACTCGGGAGGCTGAGGCAAGAGAATCGCCTAAACCCAAGAGCAGGAGGTTGCTATGAGCTATGACGCCATGGCACTCTACTGAGGGCGACAAAGTGCAACTCTGTCTTTATAAAAAAAAAATGAGAGAGGCTATTTGCCACTCTTTGCTGTTATAAAGGTGTATTTGAAAGGTAGTTATTAATCTTTTATTTTTAAAAAATGCAAAGTGCCTTGAATTTTAAGACAAATAAATGCTGAAAAATAAAACAATGATGTTTTTGCATAATTTTAATGAAAATAACATAGTAGGAAATATTGAGAAGATAAATACACATGATATAGAAGTAGAAAAAAGATGTTAAAAACATTTTTCATTGTTGAAGGATGATAATAAGAACTCAGCACAAGAACACAGATATTGCTGATAAATGCTCTAATAGAAATATCTACATCCTTACATAGCTTTTTGACTACAAGCAGTCGAAATGGGATGGCATTATATTTCATTATCTTTTTTCTAAATGTTCTCCTCCTGTTCTCTCTGTGAATGGTGCTTGAAAACTGCAATTAGATCTTGTTTCCTCTCTTCGTATTCACTCACTAAAAAGCTGGCTATAGTATTTTTTTTTTTTTTTTTGAGACAGAGCCTCAAGCTGTTGCCCTGGGTAGAGTGCTGTGGCATCACAGCTCACAGCAACCTTCAACTCTGGAATTCAAGTGATTCTCCTGTCTCTACTACCCAAGTAGCTGGGACTATAGGCGCCCGCCACAATGCCCAGCCATTTTTTTTAGTTGCAGTCATCATTGTTGTTTGGCGGGCCTAGGCTGGATTCAAACCTGCTAGATCAGGTGTATGTGGCTGGCGCCTTAGCCACAGGCAGGGAGCCTGGCTACAGTATTTTTAAAAAATCCATCCTTTTGTATTGGTTCTCAGTGCTTTGATTCTTTTTTTAGTCTTTGGCCTAGGTTATTCCTATGGTTTACTAATTGGCATTTACCTTATTTTGCCCTCAGACTATTCTCCACACTATCACCAAAATGATATTTCTAAAGTAAATATCTTCTTATTTTCTCTTTATTAATCTTTAGTATCAACCTTCTCCCATTCCCTTACTTGCAGGGAAAGGTCCAAATTCCTCATCTAGTATGTAAAGTCTTTTTGTGATCTGGCCCCTTTTAGCTTCTTCCTGCCCCATTATTCTTTGCTAATCTGATTTACTCTTTTGTTTTAGTTATATCAAATTATTTGTAGTTCTCCGAACATGCAGGGAATATACTTCTTTCATATTCATGCTTATAGTAGCCCATCAAATATGCTTATTTTTATTCTGTTGCTTATTATCTCCTAGTGGTTTCCCATCATCCATTCCAATAGGATGGTACTTAAAGCTCTGGAACCCCGGCTTACACAGCATCTCAAAGGGCTACCTGCCCTTTTCAGTGACAAAACAAATGAGAAGAATCTGCTCTATAGTAAAGACTATGAGTAAACTTGGTTGACCTGGCCTAGATTCTAATAGAGGGGGATAAAAAGGGTTTTTTCTCCTCCTGAGAACTTGTTGCCATAGATCTGTGCCTATGTGGGGCTATTCAGAAACTTAAGTTACCACCATAATAATCTCCAAACACCTGAACACAAAAAATAATGATCCTAAGGCAGCAGTTCTCAACCTGTGGGTCTCGACCCCTTTGTAACAATGAAAATACATCGTGGCATTAGGAAGATTGAGAACCACTGTCCTAAGGACATCTGGTAGTAGCAAATGAGAAGGGAAAAATGAGGGTGATCAGATCAATTTTCTTTTCCTCTGGGCAGTGAATCTGCTTTCAGAGAGTACAGTCATCCCTCAGTAACCTTGGGGGATTGGTTCCAGAACCCCCTTAGGATACCAAAATCCACAAATACTCAAGTCTCTGATATAAAATAGTGTGGTATATGCATAAAACCTATGCTCATACTCTCATACTTTAATCTTTATCTTGTAACACTGATACATAAGTAAATGTTATAGTTGTATTATTTAGAGAATAATGATAATTTTAAGAGTGTATATATTTAATACAGATGCAATTTTCTTTTAGTGTTTTTCACTCTGGCTGGTTGAATCCATGGATGTGAGGAAACCATGGTTACAGAGGTCAACTGTATGGGTTCTTTGCTCATACATTCTAAAGTCTTATGTGGTTGGTCCCTGCCCTGGTCTAGCACTATTTGTGATGGGGAGTGGATAAGTTTGCATAATTACGGAGTTAGCAGGCACCACTTGAAGCTCTCAGACACTTATAGACTTAAAAGTAACTAATATGCTTGAAGAAAAAAGATAAGATTAAAACTTTGAGTGGTTGGCTTGGTACTTGTGGCTGAAGTGGCTAAGGCGCCAGCCACATACATCTTAGGTGGCGGATTCAAATCCACCCCAGGCCCGCCAAACAACAATGACGGCTGCAACCAAAAAATAGCCGGGCGTTGTGGCGGGCGCTTGTGGTCCCAGCTACTTGGGAGGCCGAGGCAGGAGACTCGCTTGAGCCCAGGAGTTGGAGGTTGCTGTGAGCTGTG